GTATATGGAAGTGATTGTTGATAAATCAAAATAAATTAATAAAAAAAGAGAAGGTGTTCACAATATGAGAATCATATGGAACTAAAATTGAGATAAAAGTAGATTATTTGTCACTGCTGACCCTCCAGGACTTGTGTTCATTCTATAGAGGGGCTGAAAGAATTATTAGTTCTATTTAAATTGTTGGGTTTTTTTCTCTCTTTCATAAGTTAAATGCACATATGTTACGACTCCATTGGATTTCATTTCATCCTCAAAATAACCATCTGAAACACATCATGATTCCCATTTTACAGATAAGAAATAAGATCATGGCATTACAGATCAAGTTGGAAGGTATCTAGTCAAGCTTTCTCATTTTATAGATGAGGCAACTGAGGTTAAGAGAGCTTTTGTCTTATTCAGATCACAGAGATGAACAAATGGGAACTCACTTTCTCTAACTGCAGAGTCAGCTCTGCTTCAACTGGTTTTCTCCACTTTCCTCAGAGACATTAAATGACTTGCCAATGGTTGCACAGCTAATAAATGTCAAAAGTAGGATTTAAAATCAAGTGTCTTCCAACATCTGATTCTTATACTCTTTCTCCATCCCATACTGCTTCTATTTGAATAAAAGGATGCTTAAAGATGGAGGGGTAGGGACTGGGGAAGAGTGAAGTTTCCTTACACCATTACTCTCACTCCCTTATAGGTGGGAAAGTCTAGAAAGCTCAGAAGTTAAGAGATTGTGGACTGTGCATGTTTACATTCAGGCACAAATAAGTATCTTCCAAAGCACTAAGCCCTCTTAAGATGTTTTGATGTGCTTTGCATGTAATGTCCTCTAAATGTATTGTGTTTCATTGCATTCCTATTACACTGAAGTTCTACCAGGCTGTTTATCTATGTGACATGAATTGAGTAGCATTTCATTTATCAGAAGAAAGAAATTGCTTTTTTCTCCAATGTTTCATCATGTTCAACAACTAATGTAGATCCATTCTTTTTAAATGAGATCATCTATACACTTCCTCCTGTGGCCCCAAGATGGAATAGTTCTTTAAGTCAATTTAAACAACTAAAGTCAATCTTTATGAAATATTTAAATTTATTTAGGTTCAACTCAAGAAAGTATAGTGGCACTAATTTCTTCGCTTGTTTTTTTTTTAGTGGTCCACCTTTTGAATGTCAATAAATATTAATATGAAATTAATCCATTTTCCTACTGATTAGAATTCCCTACTTTGAAATACCAGTAATGTAAAAAGTTAAATGCATTATTATTTCCTCATAGACCTTGGTGGCTTTATTCAAAGTAAAACAGCTAATTAAAATTAAGAAATGATTAACTTTGGCAATAGAATTGCAAGTGGAACCATGATTTATATATTTGTTCAATGTTCTTTACTACTGTATAGGTCCTAGCATGTTCAATCATTATACAAATATCTATATATGTTTTTAGAATGAGATTCTGTAGAATATGCATTTTAAAATTAAATGTTATATAATAAAATTAGTACCTTAATATTTTAATTTCTTATTAGCAAATGACAGAAATATAATACATATAAAATTTCATATTGTGAAACCCTGTCAAATCTATACAGTTCACAAAGATTGAACGAGTTAAATTTGGCATCATTGACAGAATTTGTCCTACTACTAAAGTCACTGAAATGGAAAATGAACTAGGCACTAAAATTTTACAACTTACAATATATGTATTACTAGGGAGGAAAACCTTTTTGAATGGGTTGCTAATATAGTATGCGGATAAGCTAGCTAGTACCAGAACAAATAACTTTAAGCTTTCAGCTCCCAATCTGTCTGGTTATGACTGTTATTTTGGCAAAAGTAATGCCAGATACAAGGTTGGATTTTTTTGTGTGTTTTTTGCAAAATCAAATGCATACAAATTCTTATGGCCAAAACTGCTTACTGTCAATTTTATACTCTAACTGCTAACCCAGTGTGATTAACGTCATGCCATATGTGGACATGCTGAGAAAATCCTAATCAATATGATCAGTGTGCACACATATGTGCTGCATATAATTTAAAATGTCATAAACCAATAAATATGCTGGATTTGGGGAAACTATTTTGTCCATTTTTTAAATGTGAAAAGATTATTTTGTTAAGAATATATAGATGAATACAATCATACACACATACTTTCATGCACATGTTTTATATTTTAGGTAAAATCTAGATGTATCCCAGGATAGTTTGCTGAAATTTTTATATATATTCTCACCACCAATAACAATAGAACCCACATAACACTTAATAGCTGTGTGACCCTGGGCAAGTCACTTAACCCCATTGCCTAACAAAAACGAAAACAAACAAACAAAAAAGAATCCCTGTTCTAACATATTGGGGCAGCTAGGTGGCACAGTAGATAGAGCACAGGTCCTGGATTTAGGAAGACCTGAGTTCAAATCTGGCCTCAGACACATAACAGTTACTAGCTGTGTGACCCTGGGCAAGTCACAACCCCATTGCCTAGCCAAAAACAAACAAACAAACAAACAAACCAATAGAACCTATATATTTGGAACCTAACACTTCAGAGTGGTCTATGCTTTACACAAGGAAGTGGAATTGGAAGTCTGGAAATAAAATCAGAAAATAAGTCTGGAAATGACAAAATGTGTACAGAGAATATGTATAAGCAGCAACCTAGTTAAAACGATACTCAACAATTAGTTTTCACATTATGTCAAAGAGATTAAGATCTCCAAAGAATGAAGACTCAATTAATATTAAATACCCCCAAAGGGTGATCAAGAAGTTATCAGTACCTAATAATCTATACTTTTACTCTATGAAATCTTTGAGAATGTTGGACACATAGAATATTTTTTTTGTAAAAATAGAAGGATAAAACAGATGGCTTTTAATGCACATTTTTCTACAGTCAATCAAATCTTCACACTCAAATGTTTAAAGAGCTATAGGGATAATGGTTTCTGTGTCTGTTGTTCACTAATTATCTTTTCAAAGCATTTAATACAAGTGGGTAAAACACAGTCTAAAAGTCTCTTTTCCAATAAGTTGCTTCACATGTATATTATAAGATCATATGAGACTAGGTGACATATATAAATGAGATAGTGTTATTTAGAAAGGATAATTTAGATGGGTAATGGGTCCAAAAATGCCAAGGAGAAAAGGTTAGAGCACATCATTATTCAGTACTTCTAATGGTACCAAGCCTCTCTCTCATGCCAAAACCTATCTTTTGATAATTAGCATTCTTCCAGTGAGTGAGTGAATGAATCAATGAAAAGATATTTGTTCAGTGCTTCCTATGGACTAGGCTATGTGCCAAGCATTGGGGTTACAAATACATAGGACAAACACTCCTATATTCAAGGAGATTACATTCCACAACTCAACACATGGGGCTTGGTGATTAGGGATTCGGGGCTGAGAAGTCACAGGGATTGTAGATATAGCCATAGGACTCCCAGTGATGCTACATGGATGGAAAAAAGGGAACATGATAATCTCTCTAAAATTAAAACTGCAGTTGGACAATGGACAGATACATGGTGAGTGTAGGTACATTGAAGCACATTACTAAAAATGACTCACACAGGATCATAAAGGACATCAGCTATGACATGCATGAAAGAAGGATGGTCACTTAGGATGCATAACATCAACAGTCTGAGTGTTAAAGTTGTAACTATGGAATATTCTAAGGCATTTAAAAATATCTCTAGAATGTTGAGTCAATACTCTGAGGAAGATTTATGGAAGAACATGGATAAGAACCCCAAAGGATAAGAAATCACTGTTGAGTGAAGTTGCAAGATCACGAAGAGTACCAAGGTGACATCATAGATCCATCAGGATGCTTCTAAATATTACATTTAATGAGTAAAAAGATATACTTCTAAGTGAAGCAAAAGTGTTAGTGACACATTTTTGTTAAGAAAAAGAAAATAAGCACATCAGAAACAAAATGAAATTTAAAAAGGTTAAAATATGAAATAAAAAAAAGGTCTCTTAGAGGCTATGAAACTTCCAATGGATATTCTAAGAACTGATTGGAAAATCAAGCAAGGATATCATTTTAGTGTTTAGTGATGGTTAGACAAATTCCTATTTTATGGACCAAAATGTTATAGATGATGATATCTTATAATTGAGTATGATTTTTAAAGAAAACAAAAAAGGAGACAATTCATCACCATTCAATGCAAAAATTGCATCATTCCATAGTTAAGAACCCTATTAGATGATGTATGTCTCATAAGCAGAGTCAATTTTGTATACTAGGGTATGTATTTTGTATACTAACTAGGGTATCGTGTGTGTGTGTGTATGTGTGTGTGTGTGTGTCTAGAAAAGAGAGGGGAGGGAGGGAGAGGAGAGAGAGAAAGAGAGAGAAAGAGAGAGACAAAAAGAGGGAGAGAGAGAGAGAGAGAGGAGGGGGGAGAGTCTGAGAGTGTATGTGTTTGTATTTTCTTTCACTTTCCTGCAGACCCTGGAGAGATGTCAACAGGCTAAGGCTGGGGAAGAGATGATAATTGATATGGGAGGAATAAGGTCTTTGAAGGGTAATCACTGTTTGCTAGTACCAAGAGGAAAAGAATTGTGGGAGGCAAGGTGCTGCTCATTTCTCCCTTATAAAAACAAAAAATTCCTGGGGGGAAAACCAAAACCAAAACAAACAAACAAACAAAAACCCTTGACAATTCCTCAAACCTACTGGCAGATTCTGATAGGCATCTGAGTTAAAACAAAACATCTTATAAGCTCTATTCATGTGTTAGTGAATGTTGGTATAAAATAATTGGTATGTTGGCATAAAATAAAATTTCATTCATTTGGTTACAAATTCTATGGAATAAGCAAAAGTTATTACTGTATTCACTAAACCACTGTTCTTAACAACAGCTTAACAGCTTTTGTGACATTTCACATATTGTATCTCACTGTGTAAAAAGGAAGTTGGCATATTTAAATAGCTCAAACTGTGAATAAAAATAATCACTTACCTGTCTATAATGGCACACATGTCAATACTGACATTAGCAAAGCTACCCAGCTTTCTTTGCTCTATTTCATGTAAATTGACCAGCTGATCATCCACTTGGATGAGCTGCATACACCCTTGGAATGAAGCCTGAAGTACAGAGTGATCTGAGGTATTCATCTGTGTAAGAAAACCTGTGAAATGGAAGAAAGAAATACTGAGTTCTGCTTGTGACAAGCTGTACTCAAAAGCCAACAGATAGCTTTCCTAAATATAACCATGGTCTCCAAATAATACCTTTCCTTCAAATCATATAATCTCAGGGCTGATGTGGGCATTAGAGATGTTCAAGTTGAACCACTTTTTTTCCAGATGAGGAGATCCAAATCAGAGAAGACCTGCCCAATATTCCAGAGGTGGGGAACCTGTGACCTTGAGGCCACTCGTGGCCTTCTAGGTCCTTGGGTGTGGCCTTTTGTCTGAGTCCAAGTTTTACAGAAAAAAAAATCCTTTTATTAAGGGAATTTGATCTGTGAAGTTTGGATTTAATCAAAGGGCCACACTTGAGGACCTAGAGGGTCATGTGTGGCCTTGAGGTTGTAGGTATTAGATGCCAAATACCCATTGCAGCAGTTTCATGGTTAAGGATCCAGGACCCTTCTATCAGATAAGGCAGTATGATGCAATAGAAAGAGTACTATCTCTGGAGTCAGAGGGCCTGAGTTCAAACAGCATATTTAATGTGTATTATTTAGGTGATCTCTTTTGTATAATAGAGCAGTTTGATTATGTTTTCTACAAGGCCCTGCTCTGGGGCTATGATTTTATGATTTTTTATATATATATTTTTACACCTGAGTATTAATATAGATAACAGTTCCCCTTCTACAAACTGAAACTCTTAGAAAGATGGATTATGCTAGTCAGTATGGGTGAGCTGGCCCTTTAATACCATAAGAGTGGGTGGTAAAGAAAACGTCTCCCATTCCTGTCACTTTTTCTTTTCAAGTTGCCATCTTCTCCTGGTAACTATTGCCTCATACTATCTTCTTCCCCTCATACACACCTGAGCCTGTCTTTTCAAAATGTGAGGAGGATGGAGAAAGTTAGGCATCTGACTTTTCCTGACTTCCTACAACCATCTCAATTTAGCTCTCTGTGCCTAGAAAGCTTTCTGTGCCTAGAGAGCAGGCAGCTCTCTAAAATGATCAACTAATCCGGGTTATGTATTATCTCACCCAGGTAAGGTATTTTCATTTTGATAGCAGCCTTATGCTTTAATATAGTACTGGTTTAAAGGAAAACATTTTTTCACGACACTTTTTAGATTTAACTTCCATATAATATGCACATATATTGTTAGGGCTCAAAATGCTAATGGATGAATCTAAAATGAAAAGTGATTGCTGTAGCTCTTCTCACATATCTAAAATCTGGAAGGCAAATTGTAATATTAAACATTTTAAGTTTTATTGTTCAATGTATTTAAAAGAACAGAACAATGATCATATATCATTTTTTTTAAACTAAAGGCTGAATGCCTTAATATTTTTATGGGTAAAATGTTTATGCTAAGAATATACTATAGCCCAACTATATAGATGTACAAAAATTTTAAAGCTTAATATTCCAGAATTTTTCTTTTCCATGAAGGCATCTAAAATGTTGTTCTTCTGTTTGCTTGAATGAATAAATGGATAAGTGAAAAAAAAAACATTAATTAGGAGCCTGCTGAGTGCTAGGCATTGTGTTAGGTCCTGGGAATGAAAACAGAAAAGCCAGACCATTCCTGCTCTCAAAGATTTCACTTTCTAAGTAAGGTTGACAACATTTATAGCAGGGTTCAGCCTCAAGGTGGAAAGAAGGCTCCACTGTGATTAGCTGCAGGGAGGCTAACAAGGCCCAGAGGGGCTTAGGATACATTGCTTGCACATCTGGAGAGTATAGTAATAAGTGAAATGATAACACCCAGTAGATCTTGAACTTGTAAGTTATTAACAAATGTATTTCATCCTAACATTATTATGATAATAAAAATATTTCTATAGAATACATATGGATTTAGATCATTACATAAAAATAGATTTATTATGATAATGAAAATTTGTAATTTACAGTAATGATTTTTTGGGGGATATCCCAGTGTATCTTCTTCATGACAGGGAATAAAAACATCAGAGTTCTTCCTTCTCTCTATTAACAAATTAATAAAGAAAAGCTCAATTAAGGATTGCGTAAAAGAAGTATCATTCACTCAATCAGTACACATTTATTAAGTATCTACTTTGTGCCAGAGACTGCTAAGGTCCTTTGACAGTCATGTTAACTTACATAGCTTACATTTTCTTTTTTATTAAAACAGTATTTGCTTAAAAAACAAAGTCAACGTAAGAGAATTTTGAATCTTGATCTTCTCCAGTGCCCTCTGGTGGCTAAAATAAAACAACAACAACAACAACAAAAATTCCATTTTGGAAGTCTCTCTATTTGTATAGAATTAGACCAATCAAAGAATGCTGAGTTTTTGAAAAGGTGCCTATTGAGTCACCTGAATGTAACAGAATGGTTTTCAAATGAGCTTAATCAAGGTACAATTGAATAGAGGCAGTGGTCTAAAACCAGCAGTGAGAGAACATCCAGCTGCAGCTATATTGAATACTCTTAACAAGACTGTCATTAGTTTTGTTTTGTTTTGTTTCATTTTATTTATTTATTTTTTGGGGCATGCAGTTTTCAAATACCCACACTTTGCCTCAAAGAACCATTATAAAAAAGAGTAGATCTATTTGGGTGAATATGACCCTTATTGAGGCAGCAGCTGCATAAACACACATGAGAACAGATTGGGTCTAATTAAGTTCATAAAATGGGTCTTCATCAGTCATTCATGACAATGTTCCTGGTAAGCACTGATCAATTTTGAAGTTTGCCTTTGTCAAGTCCTCTCATTTTTCTGCATGGGTGACATTCTGGAAGAATTTAATTACAGCAAAAAACCCTTAAGTGTGTACATAAGGACATTTTTTTTTCCTTGTCCTTGTTCACCTTTAAGATTTTAAGCTGGCATTTATATAGCCATTTATGTTCTGTTATCTCATTTGATCCTTACAACAACCCTGTGAGGTAGGTGCTATTATTATCCCCTTTTTACAAATGAAGAATCTGAGGTTGATCAAGGTTGGGTGTCTTGGCCACAGTAACATAGCTAATAGGTTTGAACTCAGATCTGACTAAGTTTGGAACACTATCCTCTATGGTACTACCTATCTGCCATGTTACAACTGATTCTGCCAATCTTCTGTGATATTAGAAGATCAAGACAAGATCTGTAATATAGATGTCATTCAAGGTAGCATAACAGCCACAAATCCAGAATGTAAAAAATCCAGTTATGACTATGTTATAACATCAAAATGTTATAACTATTCCTACTAATACTCTGCATACTATCCAGGTCCTACCTCCTGCACAGACTTCTTCAATAGACTCCCAACTTGTCCCTCTGCCATAGATCTCTTCCTACTCTGATTCCCATTTCATAGAGCTTCAGAAATGTTTTTCTTTAAGTGTAGGCCTGACCATGTCACTTTCATACTCACTAAGCTGTAGCAATAGCTTCCTATTGCCTCTACTGATGGAAAAATATAGTAAACTGTACCCTGCAATTTAGGCATAAATCCTTCAGAAATACTTTTATAATGTATTTAACATTATTTTAAATCCAAACACATTTAATTTAAAGAGATGTCCAAAATAGTACAGTCCCTCCATGTTTTCCTATATGTCTGTACTCCAAAAGAGTTTTCAGTAACATTTATAAGAAGCTTAAAAAAATCCATAATATGTTAAAATATAGTTTCAGGCTAATCTTATAGAACAAATGTCACTAACAGTAGCTGTTTAATCTTCAATTAGAACTACTTAGTTTATTCTAGGATGACTTTCTTCAAGAAGAGATCTCCTCTCTTTGGACCAATATCTTAATTCATTCTGAACTGAAAAGAGGGTAATTTCCTTTGATGGGGCACAGACCTATTACATTGGGGTATGTGGAAGGGCAATAATCAAATGAGGAAAGAGTTAATTTTGTCTGAGTTTGGTTTTTATCAGTGTCCTTAAGAAAGGCATTTTGTCCTCTACCTACCATACTCCTTCCTAAGGGGACAATTCTGAAAAGGGTTAGTATTTCTAGAAAAAAACAGAAACAAAACCTTTTAATATGCTTCTACATTTTTAGAACAAAATATAAGCTCTTAGGTTTGACTTTTAAAGCCCTTCCTATCTTTGCTCCAACACATCATTCCCAAATGATTTTAAGTCATTTTCCTGCCTGCACTCTTCAGTCTAGCTGAACTGTTTTCTCTTTCTTTCACATATGACATTTCATCTCTCATTTCTGTGCCTATTCTTTGACCATTCCTCAAGCCTAGAATGCTCTTACTCCTGACTTCCACCTCTTAGAATCCCTGGCTTTCTTCAACATTGAGATCAAATATTACCACTTTAAAGTCTTTCTTGGTCCACCCTGCTTAAAACCTCCACACCCAACTGCTAGTACTTTCCCATCTGAAGTTGCCTTTCAGTTACTTTTGTACACATATGTACACGCACACACACAAGCACACATACAATGTATGTCTGTACATATTGTGGGTGTATAAAAGGCTTATTACAACTTTAAGTTAGTAAAGCTGCACTAAGACTTTCAGAACACCCTAGATGCACATAAGCAAGAATCATTGACTCTCCATTCAAATGTAAGACTTAAAAAAACAAAATTTTTATTGATATCTTGTTATACATTGTAAAAATTTATTCTAGCATCCCTTTTCCTCTGGTTCCCAAAGAGTCAACTTATTCTTTTTATTTTTAAGAAAAAGAAGAGAAAAAAAATTAGTAAAACCTATCAGCATGCAAAAAATGTTTGAAAACATACGCTGTGTTAGACACTCGGGGACTTCCCACCTCTAGCAAGGAATGAAATGGTGATATTTTCTTATATCCCTTATTTGGGATCAAGTTTATTCTTTGTAATCTGCAAAATTAATTTACTTTTTGTTTTGTTTTGTGGTTGCCATTCTTTCCATTTACATTATTGTCACCATTGTGTGTATTGTTTACTTGGCTTTGCATTAATTGGCATTTAAGTTTTTTGACGACAGGATCTGTTTTTCCTTTGTCTTTGTAGTTTCTG